CGTTAGGTAAGGCTTTAGGTCATCTTTGCACAGTTTCGGGTTATCCTTTGTGGGGAGATGCCTTCAACCTCGAGATAAAAGGGTTTTCTCTACTTCAGCTATCCCCATTCTGGACATCGCAATATTCTGTAATAAATTCTTAAAAATGATTGGGCAGCATTTATAAGTTGATTTTGCAGGGCAGATCTTGTTAGCTGCAAGCGTAAACGTCGCCATTTCAGTAGGGTAATTTACATTTTGGTGGAGTGGTTATTAACTATTTTGGTAGACTCCCTGAGGTCGAATTGGGTAGAAATAACTCCTTTCCAACCGAACACCATCTGACTGATTCTTTGCAGCTTGTATTGACAACTGACTGTTTGCATTCGTCAATAGGCCTTAATTTGTGACTAGCACTGTAATTGTACTTATGGCTGATAGCATCATTTCTCTCTACCTTACGTTACTAATAAATTGGCCAACTATTACTGTGTCGTACAGTAAGTTGAAGTGAACGCACAATACTTATGCTAACATCACACATCAACTGTCGAATTTTCAAAGTTGAACTTAGTAATTTCAACAAGCGCCCAGAAGAGAATAGATCAACTCCAAGGGGTCCTCAAGGTAGTGCTATACGGCCAACAAGTACCGAAACCTACTTGAAATTTGCGCTGTAAACTTTGGTTGGCTTAGTTTTTCAACAGTTTTTCTCGCAACCAGTTGGGTCGGCTCCATGCTGTGAGTCATTCGCCCCCTGACTGATCGCCCTCCGTTACAGCACATTCTCGCGCAAAGTTTTATCTTGAAAACTGTGGGTCGGAGGGCCGGGGATATGTTTGGGGCCCACCTTTATCACATCTAATCATGCCTTCGTTTGCCTGCCAAGACGCTGATCCGAGCCTTGGTTGGGTTTGCGAGGCGTGACTTTCCAAACAAATTCATCCTAGTTGCAGTACTAGGCCAAACTGTAGAGGTGTGCGAGTGAAAAGTTGACTTAATTTGTTCCTTACCGACTGCCTAGTCGTTCAGTGAGTTATCGGTCAAAGGAGTGAACCCAGAGTGCCACGTAAACATGGTTAAATTCATCCAGATCACACACGTCATGTCCCATATGCACACAAACTTGACTTGTCGTAAGGGATGCCTCTTTCTGTCCACCTAGCCATGTGTCTGATCTCACGTCGATTTCAAGGAATTTGCGGAAGTCGAACAAGGGCTGAGGGCATCCATGTGACTGTCGAGCGTGATTAGATTGAGGTAGACGATCCGTTTATCAACGGGGTTTAGCTTGGTCACAGATGAGTAACCAGTTGTCTCGAGGCCAACACAACTTGAACTATGGCCGGGTTTGTTACTACGCCCAGCCTTACCATGCAATCATATGGACAATGTGTTGGTAAAATGCAAACAGTAGGCGTGTGGTTATTGACTATTGATGTTGTCATTGTTGTTTGTCAGAGTTGGTCCAGCGCGCCTTGAGAGTGTGCACTCATAACAAATACCATACGTGGGTGGGGGAGGGGGGGGTATGGTGGCATGCTCATGCACAGTCACACACTGCGCCAACCACCCTCAGCCTTCTTGACGTAGATATGGCACCGAGCCCAGGCGGGTGATAATGGAGAAAGAGAGAGCGGTAAATGAAATGCAAGTCTGCTATCAGTTTTAACCAATTCACACTCAAGCCACTGTCGCTGCACCTGCGCACAAACGACAAACATACTCGGTAACGACGGTTGAACTGCCATTTGATAGAGTACACCAGCGAAGCATTTTGTCGATCGTCCACATAGGCTTACGGATGCTTAGTCACAGTTTTGAATAAACATGCCTCGTCTGCCTGCATAACGTCCGCTGCTGACAAACACACTTTGTCGTACCCATGTGCGTCGTGCATGCGTTTAAATGCAGAATCTGTGCACACACACGCCTTCATT